TCATGCTCTGGCCAATGAGACACTGACAAAAGTTGCTGCTTGAAGCTTAGAGCCAAGTTGTTGATTGAGGGACCACAGGCCAACGCACACAATTAGCCCTCTGTCCTTCCCCCTCTTCCTTCCCTGAATGCAGGAAATGACCCAAGCAGTGAGACGGTACAGTGATGAGGGGACAATGTCAATTGGATTGGCTTTGGGATCTTTCAGGGGCATGGGTGGTGCATATTTATGGGTATATCTGGGTGGGGGATGGGGATGTGACCTTCAGTACCAAAGCTTGTCCCTGTCCCTTCCCCTCTGCTTCCTGGCTGCCATGACGTGAGCAGCTTTGCCCTGCCATGTCCTTCCACCATGATGTCTCTGCCTTGGGTCCAGCTGACTATGGACTAATCTACCATAAAACATGAGTCAAATTAAGCTTGTCCTCATGTATGTGGTTGTTAGGTTCGTTGTCCAGCAACAGCAAAGCTAAGACAAAGAGTCACAGTAAGGCCCAAGGGTCACGCATGAGGATAAGACTCCATGCCAAGGATGGTTGAGGCCAGGTTCCTGTGTGGGCCACAAAGCTACTAACCCAGCCCTGACTGCTCCCCCCAGACTTCACAGCACATGGAAACAAGCACCTGACTTGGGTGGGATGCATTTTCTGGCTCTTGGTTACTCTGAGCCAGAGGTCGCCCTCACTGAGAGCTCCCTTGCCTCTCACCTAAACACACACACACACACACACACACACACACACACACAGAGCTAATAGTCTGCTTGTTTCCTCCTAGTTCTTCCTCCATAGAGAAGCACACTCCTTGTCTCTGAATTCCTGCTCCTTCACTTCCCAGGTCTCTAACACGAGTTACTTAACTTTACATCTCCAGCGTGATCTCTAAATGTCATAGTAATGTCAAGTGGAATTTTTTTTGAAGGCTCAGTGAAATGTATATTAAAGTGAAGAGCACAGCGTCTAGAGTTTAATATGTGCTTAGTAAATATTAAATAAAATATCTCTAGTTTTTAATGACATTAAACTGTATTTTCCTTCCTTTTTTAATGTATTTAGTACAGGGTCTCACTACACAGATCAAACTCAGAGTGGGCCTCCTGTTTTCAGCCTCCCAAACACTGGGATTACAGGCATTTGCCACCACACCCAGTCTCAATCACCTTCTCAGCATGCCCTGGGGGCGGGGCCTACACAGCACCCTAGGGATCAGACCCCGGTCCCTGTGCCTGCCTAAGCAAACACTTTAATTTTTATATATAAAATAATTTTAACAGCAACTAGAATTTCATATGCACTTAACAAATCTTAGGTATTAACATCAAAATTTCATATCCTACTTTTTTGTTTAAGATATGACACATTCTTCCATGACATAAAAAATACACTTCACATTCTTGTTTTAATGACTTTGTGAATTTATGTTCTTCTGTAGAAATACAAACAAGCCCTAAATAAATACTCAAGATATTGCAAGAATTATAAAGTAGAATATAACTGTGGGATAGAGTAGTATTATTAAAATTATTAGCAGTGACTCATGTTTAACATCATCTTCAAAGTTTGCCTCACATTGTAGTATGGTTCTACCAACAATCAGAATTTTTTTCTTTTTCTGTGCAGTTGGAGGAATTGAACCCATGGTCCCAACTAGAGCCCCAAACATAACAAGCAAGTGCTCCACCACTGAGTTATGTCTCCACACCTGTTTTAAATTTTATTTTGAGACATGGTCTCACTAAGTTGCCCACAGCCAGCCTTGAACTTACAACTTTCTTGCCCCAGCCTCCTAAGTAGATCCAAAGGCAAGCAGGCACCACTATGATTAGCTCAAGAATTTTTTTTTTTTTTTTTTTTTTTTTGGTGGAACCAGGGATTGAACTCATGCCCCTGCGCTTGCCAGGGAAGCGCTTATTGCACTGAGACATCTCCCCAGACCCAAGAAAAAATTTTAAAGAGCTATGTGGCAAATATTTTAGGTTTTGTGGGTCATGCTTTCTACAGCAACTCCTCAGTTCTATATCACAGCTAAAAGCAGCACAAACAACACTTATAAGAGAAGGCATTGTGGTATGACCTTGAATACTAACTATATTGAGCCCCTGGCCCCTTCCATAAAACTAGCAAAACTTTATTGTTCTAATGTCTTAATAAAACTTTATTGGCACAAACTCTTGGAAAGCTGGATGTAGTCAAAGTGCTATAGCTTTCTGGTCCCTGGACTACACCATTTATGGAATCAATTCTTCTGATCATTAGAGCTTAGACTAGTATCCAGTTTGGGGCTGTTATGTATGTCCCAAGAAAGTTTGGTACTGACGTTTTTGACAAGGTGTTTTCTTTCAGATACTTTCTCAATAGATGAATGGCATTTTTAAGTTTCTTGAATTATATAGCCTAATCCAGTAGAGCATTAATTTTGTTATTTTGAGTAGGGCCTTACTCTTGGACCAGTATTTTGCTTGCTTTATCACTATTTTCCAGATGTTTCCTGAGCAGGAATTCTGTCTCTTCTGACTGTCAGTTGTTCAAGTGTAAAGACATAATACTGGGCTGGGAGGATAGCTCAGAGGCATAAGCACCTACCTGGCAAGCACAAAGTCCCGAGTTTGATCCCTGGCCCAAACTACATAGTGAGACCCTGTCTCAAAAAAAAAAAAAAAAACTGTAGTAACTTCCTATCCTGCTAGCACAAGCCTTGGCAATCTCTTTCATTATCACACAACACACACACACACACACACACACACACACACCCCTGTTGAATATTTGTCATGATTACAGCTAAGACATAAAAGAGACATGTGGCAAGTGACTGAACCCTGCATTTTTAAAGCTTCAAGAAGGCGTGACTCACATGCATATGGCCAGTTACTGAGGCTCAAGTGAGGAGATCTTTCCAAACAATGTGGTAAAACAACTTTGTCTTTTCCTAGACAATGCTTGGCAAGTCATCAGAGAATACTGATTCGCCCCAGTCATCTGTCCTTCTTTACTAGCCCACAGCATCCATTGACTCTGTACATCCCTTTTAATCACCCGCCACACCCTACTCCTTTTCTACTCAAGGACCAGGATGGACCTCTCTTAGTATTGAAGACAGCTGTCACCTCTGCCAAACTCTAGCTCATGAAAAATTGAAAATGTTCACCTACATTTCTTTTCACCTTGAATATTTCATGAAACCAAATGGCAGTTTCCAAAGGTGAAAAACTGTTATTTTCCCAGACAAATTCCTGTGAAGTGAAAATTGCTAGTTTCACACAGCTGTACCACTGATGACTACTATTATGATGGGCACAATTTGATCAGGGGAAAAAATGAAACCAGGGTTCTGGTGCCAGCAGTCCCAATTCAGGAGCCAGTAGGTTGCCCTTCCCCAAGCTCCAGCTTCTATGTCACCCTCACTATCCTTGGGGCTGTCTGGTGAACCACCAGCTACCAAACATGGCCAGATTCAGGACCACATCTCCCATTTCCCCAGGGACAGGGACATTCCTGGGGAGTCCAGTTGTCTCCCCTGCAAGAATCATGGACTCAGACCCTTTGAGAGGAGATCTAAAAGGTTGCCTAGTGGTTTTAGCCTAAGGAAAATCAAATTCCATAAACTAATGGCCAAACATCTCAAGTTGAGTGACTTAAATAATATAAATGCATTTGTCCATAGTTCAGGAGCCTAGGAGTCCATGGTCAAAGTGTCAGCAGCATCAGTGTCTTCTGAAGCCTCTCTCCTTAACTATAGGCAGCTGTCTTCTCCCCAAGTCTTCATACTGCTTTCCTTTGTGTGTCTGTGTATTAATCTTATCTTATAAAGATACCAAGGTATTGGCTTGGGACCTACCAGTGACTTCATTAGATTAAATATGCTATGCAGATGTTATGTCCAAATATATCACATTCTGAGTTACATGGATTGTAACTCCAACATAAGAATGTATGTTGAATTTAAGTGTTATGGCTTATGTCTAGTGAAGGAATCTGACTGCTACCATCCCAGACTGACCAGAGACCATGCCGAACCTACACTCACCCCATATTTCTAATCACTGTTCAGCCCTTCCATTGATAACAACCACTACTCCCTGTGCTTTCTCTTTGTCAAGCAGCCACAATCCCCTTTCACTGAACTGTCTCCTCACAACTCTATAAAAGACATCATAATCTGTATAAAAGCAACCAGTCTGGTCTAAGTACCAGGGGTAGTCCTTCTCAGATTTGTTCTGAAATAAACCTGTCCCCTTGAGTTTGTATTTTTGTTTATTTTCTCCCTCCTAACACAAATGTCCTCCCAAAGTCTCATACACTCATGTTTGGGGTCTTCGGGAGTAACTGGGTTGTAGATTTCTGATACTGGATTAGTCTACTTGTCCATTTAGCAAAGTTCTGGGTGTGGTCAGTGGGAAAGCCTAACCTGGGTGTGGATACCACCATCCAATAGGCTTGCAGCTTGAATGGGATAAAAGGGAAAGGATGGCTCACTGTTGTCTCCTGCCTACCCTGCCATGGACTGTTTCTCCTCTGCTCTACCTTTCTGCCTTGGAACCAGCTGGTGAGGGACTGAAATGTCTACAAACTGTATGCTAAAATAAACCATTCTTCCCGTAACTAATAAGTGTTGAGCATTTTGCAGCAGCAGTGAGAAGTAACAAAATCAGGAGCATACCTCAGTCACAACACCCCACATCCCCAACCCAGCCATCTTCCTGCAGCTTTTCATACCATCAAAGATGAAAGGACTTTAAGGTATTTTCTAGATCTTGGAGTGCTCAAGGGTCTTCAAATGACCTGAGGGGTTTTTATAATTGGGAAGGAGCACAGAAAGTTGTAACCTGGGTGCTTCCAATACTACCTCAAACAAATCGGCACAGATTTTATCCTATACCAGAATTCCATTAGGGATTTTGTTTAGTCCAGGGTTCTTCACATCACACATTGTTTGAAATTTGCAATTTATTTTTCAGATAATCAAAATGCTGTGTGAAAAGGTGAGGAGCTTTCTTTAACAATGTATGGCTCCTTGTTGGCCAAGCTAGAGCTGAACCTCTCATTCTTGGAGGCCCAAAGCAAACCATTCAAACACCTGCCACAGAAGGACCAGGGACAGCCAAGGTGAGTGTCGTATGGGACTGTGTGTGTGTGTGTGTGTGTGTGTGTGTGTGTGTGTGTGTGCCACATGTCAGATGGAGCTCACACATCACAGAGCATTGTCTTAGCAGTTTTGATGTGTGGATCTGGGCTTCAGTGGTGGAAAATCTGAGTCACCACTCTACTGATGTCAGACACTGCTTGGAAATATTCATTCTGAACAAGAAGGAAAATATATGCCCCATTTAGGTACATTTGCATATCTCCCATGGCACTGAGAAGTGATAAACATCTCTGGTAACAAGCCATGGATAACTGTGTTTGCACGCTTTCCTGGGTGTCTGGCTGTCAACAGCAAAGACAGAGATGAGAGAAAAGTATCAGGCTCCCCTTAAAACAATGATAAGGATTTCACTTCCTCGAGTAAATCCCAGGTCATGGGCTCACAGCAGAGTAGGAGCTTTGTCTCTGTGTGTTTCCAGCAAAAATGTACTGGTCTTGGACTCTTCTGAGAAGTTATTGGCTTTGAAAAGCAAAGTGATTATTTTAGCTAGGAATAGTTAGGGTAGGAGGGCAGCTTTCTGCGTAAGAGAAAAGGGCACAGTTCCTGAGCATCATTTTTGCACCTCTGCACTATCTCCCTGGCGGTTAGTTCCCAGGCCAGTGCCCAGAATGCGGGCTGGATGGGGCCAGGACTCTCCTGGACTTCAAGGGAAATTGAATGGGTCAAATGGAAGGCTGCTAGAGAGCCGAGAAGCACCAAGCAGTCGGCAGCTGCTTCCCTCAACACTTGCTCTAAATAATCTGATGAGGGCTGTGTAAGGCTTTTAATGTTACTCAAGTTTGATGCCCTTCCCAATAATGCCTGAAACAATTCTTTGTAAAGAATTAATAGAGGGAAGCCTGGCCCTACACCATGGAAAGGACATTGCCAACTTACAGATTTCTCTGTCATAAGGCCTATCTCCCCTCTCTGGGCATGACTGTCCCTGCCATAGCTGGGCTGATTCAGGGCTTTCCCATGACTCAGTGTAGCATCTCTCTTTGCAAAAGCACTCCCTGCCCACTTCCCACTCTGGCCTTCCTGTGTCCCCATTGTCCTTTCTTCCTCACCACATTGAGACACACAAGGTCCTACTTCTGTCTATTGTCAGTGTAGACATATTGAGGCCAGACATGAAGGGTGTTTGGGGGATATTCTGACTAAAAGGCTTGGGTGGTCTATACCTTTGTTTCATCAAGTTTGAAAGATGAATATTCTCCAAGATCAAGAAATTCCATTTCTACATGGTTATCTTATAGAAACTCACATATACACACATAACCTTAGAAACCTGCATATTCTCTAAAAACTCATAGATATATCCAAATATTCATAGAAGCACTTTTTATAATTGCATTAAAACTAGATACAACCCAAACAGTCTTCAAAAGGAGAAAAAAAGAGATAGTATTGCAATGAATGCATACAATAGGATATTCTCCAGCATAGATGGATGAAACGCAGGCTTGACAAGAAAGATGAGTACTACCAATGTCATTTTCAGTGGAAGGTGAGCAAGCCATAGGAAATCTGGTGGTCTGATCCAACCTGTTCAGAATGCAAAAATAAGCAATGTACTTAGGGACACACATGGAAACATAGTAAAGGGGTGTGTAAAATCAAGAGAACAGTGGAATGCACTTCTGGATCTCAGGCTGGAGGCAAGGCCAGAGAAAAGAGCACCAGCATTGGCAAGAAAGGTCTACTTCTCAGCCAGGATATGAGTTAGTAGAGCTTTATCGCTCATGCAAGTTGCATGCTTTCAACTGGCTGTAGAGCCCACATATGTGTTGTGCCAGAAAACTACAGTAAAGGTTGAAATTTTTAAAATGGGAAACAGGAAAAGGCACATTACTTTTAGTCTTCCTTAATTTACTGTCTTGCCTTAGGTACACTTAGCCCATTGTTCTTCCTGCTTCTGAAGCAGTTCCAAAGTCCCCTTTCGTGAGGGTCTCGCTGTGCAGTCATGGCTGCCTCAGTGTTCTCAATCAATTCCAAATGCTTACCTTCCAAGATTATTTTGACTTTCAGGAAGAGTCAAAGGTTGCTGGTACCAGATCTGGTGAAGAAAGCAGATGAGGACTCCGTGTCATGTTGTGATTGGTCTACCTTTCCACAGGGTATCACTTGGCAACAGCCTTCGCTGTGTCTTTAATCACACCACATAAATACAGGAAAAAGTTCTCTAGGTGGTCTTTCAAGGACAGATGTACTGATTGATCATTGTGTCAATTTGGGAAGTTTAGAAGTTCAACCCAGCAACTCTGCAGGGAGGTAGGGTCCTCGCTTTGTAAACATCCTTATGCTGTGCGAGAGGAGGGCAGAGAGAAGGTGCGAGTGCTGCACCTGCCTGGTGGGAGGTGGGGGCAGCCTGCTTATAAGAAAGGAGAGAGGCTTGCTTCCCCCTTCATTCTTGATGCTTTTACTGTCTTCTATTGTCTTGAAGTGTTTCCCTGTGCCATGTCACCCAGCCTTGGAGCCAGCTAAGTATGGACTGCAACCTCCACTAACTGTGAGCTAAATAAACCTTTCCTTCCATAATGTTGGGTGTCAGGTATTTTGTCTCAGCAAGGAGAGAAAAGTAACTGAGATAGGAGATTAATGGTGATGTGTCTTTTACTGTAATAACTTTTGGAAAACTTAAACATTCACTTTACATTGTGCTCTCTCCTTATAAATCACTTCACTACACTGCCTGCGGTGTGTGCACCTGGCCTCAAGAGTCCCTACAATGCCATTTCAGGGTGACTAAGGGCCATGCGTCCACAGCTGTCAAGCACCCACCCCTTCATAGGAGGCATGAATCAGATACCCTGTGCCAAGGGGCTTTGGGCAAGGCCAACCTTGGCCTGAACTCTTCCCCAGGCTGGGCCCATGCCACAGTGCTCTGCCTCTGAGTGCCCTGCCCCACCCCGCCCTGCCCCTCATCCCCAGACACTCATTGAACCTGCATTGTATAGGGCTCTAGAAACAGACCTAGGTCTGCTCCATGGTGAATAAGGTGTCCAGGCTGTGGGCAGCCATCACACATGTAAGGCAGGTGAGAGAAGCAGAGAAGGGACTGCCCAGCTAGACGTCAGCCCTGTGGTGGAGCCAGAACATTAAAAGCTGTGATCAAAATAGAAAGGGAATGCTTGCATTTTAAAAAATGTATTGCAGTAAAAGACACATTGCTCCTCTCCTCACCTTCCTAAAGGAGGGATCTGGCCTGGACCTTGCTTTAGGATAATGCAGTTCCTGCAAGGACTTCCTCTCTGGGGCCTCTCTTCTCAGTCCCTGCAAGGCGCAACATCAGGGTTCTGCATCCTCTATCCACAGTTGAGCAGAGCAGTGTTCAGGAGAGGGTGACACACAGCCTGAAGTCAAGGCCTTGGGCCACTGGGCAGTCTCATCTCCACTCTGGGCTCCCATTTCCTCGTCTATAAAGGAGAAACTCTGGTCCTTAGTATTTGTAAGGCTGTTCTGGCCTTGACAATGTGCAAGGCAAAGCCAGGACAAAATCCCTGCCTCCTGATCTCCCTGGCCTCACCGGACATTAATTGCATCTGTACTGGAAAGAGGCTGAGAACTCAAACCCATCAGAAAACAAAAAGAAACACAAGAATGTTTATGGAGGCAAAAACCAAAACCACAATCAGAACAACAATAAGAACAACGCCTGCTGCTCTACTCAGTGTTTGGGCCAAATTCGGGAGCGCCTGAACCCCTTGGGTTTCTTTGCCCCTGTCCTGTTGCATGGCTGACAAGTGCAGCCCAAAGGGAGCCCAGGGAGCACAGCCTCCACGCGTGACCAGCGCCGTGCACGCACTGGCCCTGTTTTAATTTCCCTGTCACCTCCCAAACTGCACTTGAAGCAAAATCAGATGTCTCTTCCCAGAAAGTGGAAGAGGAAAATATCAATCTGTTTCGGGGAAAGTTACGAATTGCGTGTGCCTGGAATACTTGATATATGACTGGAGCCTGGTGCGCAACAAGTGATTCTTGCTGTTGCATTTGATCTCAGGATGGTAATGTGCTCTCCTGACATCACCCAAGTGGGGAATGACTGAAGATGTTTTCTATAAGATGGTTGCAAACTTCAAAGGCCACTCTTAACCCCGTGCCACCCCCACCGCCCTCCCTTTCTTCCTCCTTTTCCTCCAGGCCCTCCTCTCCCTTCACCCAGCAAATTGTTTGGGGGCCAAAAGTGATTGTAGGAAGATCAAGAATCGAGGAACTTGTGGCAGGTGGTACCACCTGTGTCTGGGCAGCAGCCACCGGCCGCATCTGCTCCCCAGTTGTGGAGGGAGGCAGGGGGCCATCCCTGAGAAGGATTCCAGCCAGGCAGAGCTGCAGCCAAGCAGCTGCAAGGGGAGCTGGCCAGGCACGGAGCCCCTGCCACCTCTGGCTCTGAGGGATGGAGGAGAGCTTCCTGGGGACCCAGAAGCCATTTGCATTTGGAATTGCGGCTTTCAGCCTCCCACCAGGCCCCACAAAGTAACTGGGACCCCACGTGGTGAGCTGCATCCAAAGTCACCCAACACTGAGGGTCAGAGACAGAAGAGCCCAAGCGCCCTAACCATTAGCCATGAATTCTGCCCTGCACCAACCATCACACCGCATTTGACAGGGCTAGTACGTATGCCCCTCACCCTCCTCTGCCATCGGATTCAAGGGAGCCAGGGTTGGCTCTGTGCAGGCACCAGCCTGAGCATGTTGCAGGAACTCACTCCCTTTCACACCCCCTTTCACATGGATGCTTTTACTGCCATGATTGGAGACAGCAGTGCTACTGGCAGCTGGCAGCTCAAGGCCAGGGATGCTGTCACACACCCAGCAAAGGATGGAATTGTCCCCCACAACAAAGAATTAAGCATAAGATGGCAGTGATGTTAAGGTTGGAAAATCTTATCATATATGTTATTACTGTGACGACAGTGGCCATCGTGGTGGTGGTGGTGGCGGCGACAGCAGTGACAGCGCCTCTCATTTACAGATCTGG